AAGTCGAGTCGCTGACACTGTCAGCCGTGAGATCAGCTAGGGAGCCCAAGTCCTCTGCCGACCCTGGATCTGAGCCCGATCCGCCCACTCCCCCTCCTCCGCCTCCACTACTACTGCTGCTGCTGCTGCTCCCGCGCGGCACCAGGATGGCCGGCAAGGCTGCAATGGAGGGTAAGAACAACTTGTTAACTCCTTGTTCCTTTATTAAAAAAGAAAACAAAACAAAAATCAAGAGTATGACTTTTTTATATAAAGATTTTATACCCCCCCCCCAAAAAATAGAAAAAAATAATAATAATAATAATAAAAAAAAGGACTTCTTATTTCAGGTAAATATAATCCTAGAGTATACTATAATACTCTTCACTATCCTAAGAAAAACAAATTTCTTCCAAAATACTCATCCTCCCTTTAGAAACAAACTATCACAAGGGTAAATACTAAGTCTTGGATTTGCAGCAAATGAAAAGTTGTGCCATAATAATATATCACAGGGAAGTAAGACCCTAATTCCCTTCATTATAACAAAAATCATTCTAAAACTTCTGAAAAGTTCTTTCAATGCTTGAAGACATGTTCAGAAAAGATAAACACAGCAACAAGATTAAATAAACCAATTTCAAACATCAAACAACAGAGCACAACAATAAGAAAAGTAAACAATGTGGCAAGTTTATTTCCCTTATTAAAACACATAATTAAAGAAAGGAGGCTATCCATGCAGAATAATAAATGCCATGGCTTAATCTTGTCATTTGCTTGCATTTTTATCCAATATCTATCAATCATTTCACGTATTTCCAAGATCATGTTATATAACTGATTCATCTAAAACCTACTAAACAATTATTTTTCCCCCTTTAAATAATTAAGAGTATTCCCCCTAATCATCAACCTATATCATTCCCTCTTTAAAAGCTATCTCGTCTCTTCCAACCAATCTATTTCACCCTCTCTTTGCACTCACTTTCAATATCTCTTTCAACCTATTTCATCTCCCCTGCCAATCTTAACTTATCCTCATTTGCTATCCAATGTCATCCCCCTAGGCAACCTATTTCATCTCCTCGAACTAACTGATTTCTTTCCCTCTAAGCAATCAATCTCCTCCTCTCTAACCAACCTATTTCATCCCTTCCAATCAATCAATTCTATCCCATCTAACCAATCAATTCTGTCCACTCTAACTAGTCTATTTCAACCCCTCTAACCAATCACTTTCATTCCTCTAACCAATCTTATTTGGTCCGATCTAACGCATCTATGGCAACCCTACTGAACAATATATTTCATTCTTTCTAACCAATAAATTTCAGCCCCTGCATCCAATCTGTTTTACCTCTCCTTTGAGCCAATCTATTTCCATCCCTCTGCCCAATCAATTTCTTTGACTCCAGCTAATCCATTTCATCCCCTCTAACCAATCAATTTCATCCCTTCAAGCCAATTATATTCTATCACCTCCAACTAATTCCTCTTAATCCCTTTCACCCATAATTTCAACCTTTAATTAATCAGTTTCATCACCATTAACTTATCTATTTCCTCTTAAACAAATCAATTCAATTCCTTTTAACCAATCTATCTCACCCAATTTCTCTCATCTCAAGTAACCAGTCAATTCACTCCTTCTAACCTATCTCACCCTATTTACTAATCTAGACCTATTTCACACTTTCTAACTCATCAATTTCATCCCCTATGGTCAATCTATTTTGTCCATCCGAATACAATTTTGTCCTAGCTTAATCCCAGAGAAGGCCCAGTAAGGACACATTTTGTTCTCATTTTTTTTTATCTTTGTTTTCTTACCAATATTACAATTTCATTAACCAACTGATGTACAAATTATATTAACCTTCATTTTGCAAATATGTGATACATATGTGCAAGTACTTAATAGCTTAAGAGGTCTTGCACACAATTAATACAAAATTCAAGAAAAGGAACTTATGAACTACAACTACTTAAATAATTTGTCAAATACCTTCCATACTCAACCCTAGATGAATATATGAATGGTACAACTGAACTACTTCTATGTTTACATTTATAGATTCATATTACACTTAATCTTAAAGTTTCTGCAATACCACATGATAAAGCCAAGCTATAAAGTTTAATTATACCTCATCATCATCAATATTATATCACTACCATCAGACTCAAATTCTAATCTCCAAACTGATAGAAAAATAATCTCAACTTAAAGTACATATATAAAAACAAAAAATAAAAATGCATTTCTATTATAAGGACATGAAAAGCTATAAACAAAACACTGAATTTCCATCTACATCACATACCTGGAGCCTCTATCTTGGTGTAGTGATAAGGGTTGACGCAGACCTCCTCCTTTTTGAGGTTAAACGCGTATGTGCAGTGGTCAAGAGCGCGCAACTCGTGGTGGCTCTGTAGCTCAGGCCAACGCCACAAACGGCAATAGATAACATGCGGCAGCCCCTTACGGTGGGACACCTGCAGCCGCCCATCCAGTGAC